ATATATGCTACAACATAGATGAAAGGATATCTATTGTATTCCATTTATATGAAATGTCCAAAATAGGTAAATCCCATAGATAATAATAATATTAGTGGTTTCCAGGGACTTGTGGAATAGGGACATGAAGAGTGACTGCTAATGGTTAAGTGGTTTCTTTCTGAGGTGATGACAATATTGGTTGCACAACCTTGTGAATATACAAAAAACCATTGAATTGGATATTTTTAAATGGTAAATTTTATAGGATGTGAACTATAACTTAACATTCCCAGTGGGAATGTAAATTGGTACAATCTCTTAAGGTGCAATTTTACAATATTTATCAAAATTGCAAAGGCATCTACCCTTAAATCCAAAAAAATTCCTTTTTTAGGAACTTATCCTTCATATATATTCCAAAATGTACAAAGCATTCACTTCGCCATTCTTTGATATATCAAAAAGGCTGGAAACAACCTACATGTTCATCAGTATACAACTGGTTAAATAACTACAATGTATCCATTTAACAAAATATGATGCAGCCCTAAACATTGATGAGGATAATCTTTAGTCAACAAAATGGAATGATTTCAAATGTTAAGTTAAAAACAAACAAAATAGGAGGTACAGATCAGTGTGATGAGTATGTTACCACTCATATAAAAAAAATGAGACTATCTACATATGTATTTGTTTGTAATAAAGCACCTATGAAATTATATATATATATAAAATTCAGAGCCTTGTCTACAAAGATAGGAAATGGATGTCTAAGGAACTGTGCGTGTATATGTGTGTGTGTGTGTGTGTGTGTGTGTGTGTGTCTATGGTCAATTGAGTGAAATGAAATTCAATTTCACTATAAAATTTTCACTATAAGCCCTTTTGTAACTTTTGAGTTTTTAAGCCATGTGAATGTATTTTCTATTTTAAAAACAAATACAGATTTTTTTTAAAGATTTCACAAATAAATGAATGAGTCATAGGGCTGTGGGAAGGCCCCTAGCTTGAGTGTAGAGACCTGAATTTCCAGTTCCTGAATTTACCAGTAACTACTTACCTCATCTGCTAATTAGTCTCCTCCATCACCTCCAACCCATACCCAGTCCCTAACACATTTTTCACCAAAGCATGTACATTTTAAATAGTTCAGTTTGTGAGGGCTCTGCACAATTAAATGTCTCAATATAAAAGGTTGAATTCAGGTTCCTGATTAAATAAGTTCCTAGCAGCAGAACAAGTAGTACATGCAATTTGTAAGATACACTGTGTTGGGTAAGGTTAATCTTTCTACCAGTAGATGGGGTTAGTATGATAGGTATAATAATGTGCATTTGTCAAGTTAGAAACTTGCCCTAATGGATACAAGAACCTTAGAGTCAAATTAATTTAGAGCTAGACAAAGCCTAGAGTTCAGCCCAACTCCTGTTTCACAGATGTGGAAATGATGCCCAGTGAGGTCAGAGTCTGACACAGCCACGACTGAAACCTACATCTCAGGTCCTAGCCAGTTCTCTTTACTCAATACATAATTTTGTAAACCAAAAAAATTGAAACTGAGGATTTCATGAGAGCATTAAGTCCAGTCAGTCTAGGCTTGTTTATCACCTTGTGCTTTTATTTTCTAAAGTTAAATAATTATGGGAAAGAGGTCTGCAAATAATAACTTAAAGCATGATTGCTAAGTTCACAGATACGACTCTTAACAAGTTCCTTCAAGTACTTCATTTTGAAACAGTTGAAAAATTCCTTCATTTTATTGTCTAAAGTTATGTATAACAAATGACTCAGAAATAAAATCTATTTTTATTTTATACTGAATATAGGTAATTCCTAACTCAGAAATATGATGGATTGATTCTTTACACTGAGATATTTAGGAATGACCCAAATGTCCGAAAGTAATACAGGGATTATTTAGCATGTATGAGGCAGCCCTTGTGATGATATTTTTTAATATTTTTGAGTAGGCAATATGTGTAGTGGCTATAAGCATCAACCTAGAGCCATGTGGCCTGGGTCAATTCCTGGTCCAACATTTACTAGCCTTGTGACCTTGGGCAAGTTTCTTAACCTCTTCCAGTATCAGTTTCCTTGTCATAAAACAGAGATAATAAACAGCTGACATGAGAATCAAATGAGTTAATACGTGTAAGTGCTCAGAACAACACCACCATATAGTATCTGACTCCTAAGCCCTCTCAGAAATACCTACTTCTTTAAAAGTAGTCACTTGCTAACCTTAGGTAATATCTACCTGGGTCTAATGAACTCTAATAGAATAAAGTGGGTGAGAAAAGTGGGGAAAAAAAATGTTTGGGGAAGCAAGGCTGCTTTAGAGTCAGCTACATTGAGAGGTCTTTAAACCTTTCAGAGTGCCTAGCTTTGATAATTCCTTTACTTCATAACCACGGGGTACTCTAAATACTCAGGTTTGTTCTCCAACACTGAATGTTGGTGACTGGTGCGGGAGGACGTTAGGGGACAAAAGCAGCTGCTTGTAGGAATGGGTTTTGTTTTTTAGATGGATTCTTGCTCTGTCTCTCAGTTTGGAGTGCAATGATGCAATCTCAGCTTACTGTAGCCCCTGCCTCCTGAGTTCAAGCGATTCTCGTGCCTCAGCCTCCCAAGTAGCTGGGACTCTAGGCGCATGCCACCACGCCAGGCTAATTTTTGTATTTTTAGTAGAGACAGGGTTTCACCATGTTGGTTAGGCTGGTCTCGAACTCCTCACCTCAGATGATCCACCTGCCTCAGCCTCCCCAAGTACTGGGATTACAGGCATGAGCCACTGTTCCCGGACCAGGAATGTATTTTTGAAGTTGGTATTTGCTTTCCTTTCCAAGTCTGTTGGAAGGGAGGAAGTTGGAGAAATGAATGGCCCTTCCATTCTTTTGCAATTTGAGTTCAGTTATCTTACTTCTGAGCAAATGCAAAACCCCTTGGGGCAAACTCCTCCTTTCCCTTCTTTACTGGAACATCCCTTTACTCCCACAAAGTGTCCAGGGTGAGATCTGCACAATGTAGGGGATTCCTGATTACAGGTAGCAGCCAAGGTCAGAAGCACCAAAAGTACTAAGGTGGATGGTGAAGGGAAGCATCCTTTACTCCCATTTCTAACCTCAGCTACAGCTATTTCTCACCCTTAGCAACACCCAATCTCTCCTCTTTATAAAAGCCTTCAGACCACTGTGCAAATCTTTATCACAAGTAAGTCCTCCCTTCTCTTGATCTCAGGACCACCTGTGGCTAGGGTTGATCTGAAAGGCTATGCCAACACATACTTGCGAGGACAAAGTTCAAATATACATCCCATCAGTAGCACAGAAAGCTCAAAAATTTTTTGTTGAGTAAACAGCATATATACTCTGTGGAGGTATGCGGGTGGTATCCAACAGTACCCATTTCTTGTATTTAATATGGTCATAATAACTTCAGAGTCTTAGAAATATGACAATTGTGGCCAGGCGCGGTGGCTCACGTCTGTAATCCCAGCACATTGGGAGGCCGAGGCGGGCAGATCATGAGATCAGGAGTTCGAGACCAGCCTGACCAACAGAGAGAAACCCCGTTTCTACTAAAAATACAAAAAATTAGCCTGGCATGGTGGCGAGCGCCTGTAGTCCCAGATAGTAGGGAGGCTGAGGCAGGAGAATCGTTTGAACCCGGGAGGTGGAGGTTATGGTGAGCTGAGACCGCGTCACCGCCCTACAGCCTAGGCCACAGAGCGAAACCCTATCGAGAAGAAAGAAATATGGCAATCCGTATTCAGACAGAGATGAAAAAAGGCCAATTTCATAAGCCTGAGACCACAGTGGATGCAGGAAAAGCACGACACCGCCTTGACCACTTTCTAGCTGTGTGATTCTTAACATGCCAACAAACATACATTCTTCCTGCCTCGTCCGTAAAAGGGGGTTAAGGACAACCACCTGCCGTTTCAATAATTCGCTTTTAAAATAACCAAGTGCTATGTAAATATTCTTGCTGTTCTTAGTCATCTAACATCCAATGCACGCTCTACATTTATATTTTCTCTGTGGAGGCGTTCCTAAAGGGAAGCTTTTTTTTTTTTTTTTTTTTTTTTTTTGAGGGGGAGTTTCGCTCTTGTTGCCCAGGCTGGAGTGCAATGGCGCGATCGCGGCTCACCGCAACCTCCGCCTCCTGGGTTCAGGCAATTCTCCTGCCTCAGCCTCCTGAGTAGCTGGGATTACAGGCACACGCCACCATGCCCAGCTGATTTTTTGTAGTTTTAGTAGACACGGGGTTTCACCATGTTGACCAGGATGGTCTCGATCTCTTGACCTCGTGATCCACCCACCTCGGCCTCCCAAAGTGCTGGGATTACAGGCGTGAGCCACCACGCCCGGCCAAGGGAAGCTTTTAATAATGAATATGCTCAGAAGAGTTCAATACAAGGCTACATCTGAAAGGAATGTCGGCAGCCTAAGAAAAATCAGCCTAGCATCAGGTTTCATTCCAGGCATGTTGAGAACCTGGAAAAAATAATCTTTGGTGGGACACTCCTAACCCATGACCGCTGGGTTCCGGGGGGTCAAGGTCGAACCCACAGCGGGCACCCCTTCATTTTACCTCTCACCTCGTCTTTGCTCCCAGCCTGCGCCCTCCCGAGCCTCCCACCTCAGGACCGCTCTGCCTGCGGGCCGCGACGCCCAGCACCGGCAATCCCATAAACCCCTTCGGCCAGAGCTTGAGAAAACGAAAGACAAATCCACTCGCCTAACCCGGCAGCAGGGGCGCGGGGCGCGGTGCGCCGGGCGCCGGAGCCGGGCATGCGCAGAAGCCGCGGTGGGCTGCGGGCGGCGGGCTGCTGGCCTGGAGGCGCAAGGCCAGGGGCGAGTAGTTGCAGGGCCTAGATCCGGGTCCGGGGACTCCGCCCAGCCTGCCAGCGCCAAGCGGCCTCAAGAGCCAGGCGGGACACGGAGCGGTCGGGAGCGGGAGGGCGGCGGCGAAAGGCGGGGCGGAGCCGGCGCGGCCCGCGGGGCGCCGAGTACCTGGTAGCGGCCGGTGAGCAGCTGGCTCCGCGACGGCGTGCACAGCGGCTGCGTGTAGTAGTTGTCCAGGAGCACCCCGCCGGCCGCCAGCGCGTCCAGGTGCGGCGTGCGGATGCGGGAGCCGTGGAAGCCCACGTCGTTCCAGCCCAGGTCGTCGGCCAGCACGAAGACCAGGTGGGGCGGCCGGCTGGCCCCTGCGCCCGAGCCCGGCGGCGCCAACAGCAGCAGCAGCACCAGCAGCTGGAGGACGACGGGGAGGAGCGGCCGCCGAGGGCCGGGGCCTCGGGGCAGGCTCGCCGCGCCGCGCGGACCCATCCTTTGCCGCCCGCGGTCTCTGCGCCTATGGCGCCACGAGCCCCGGGTACCGCTGATAAAATCAGGAACTGGGCGGCCGGGGCCTGCTCCGCCCCGGCGCGGGACGGCACCCCCAGCGGGCCGTGGGCTGGCGAGGCCGGGCGCTCGGCCCCTGCTGCCTCCGACCCGGACCCCGGCCGCTGTGGCGGGGGAGGAGCCAGAGACAAACCCGCGGGCGCCCGCTGCCCGGCTCCTTGGAAACTCAGCTGACGCTTGGAGGGCACTGAGGCCCGTTATCTTCCCTGGCGATGAACTTTGCACTGTGGTTTCCTCAAACAAAAGATGTGTTCTTTAATAACGCTTCACAGTTTACAAAACATCTTCACATCCAGCGTCTCCTGTAAAGCCTGCAACAACTCTGGCAGCTAGACATTATAATTAGTGCCAATTTTTCATAAGAAAAAAGCTTATAAATCGTTAAGCCCCTGACTCGGACCCTGAACCATGATGTCTAACCAGCAAAAGCCCAGCCTGTGGCAGGTGGGAGGATGGTGAAAAGGCAGAGGCCTAAATAGCCTTTCACATTCATTTATGCATAGTGTACACCCATGAAGCCACTTCCTCCCCACTAGCAAACAGGCCAAACACACAGTCTGACTGTACGGTGCCCTTTGGAAGGTGCAGTTTACTTTCAAGTTGCCCTGCGTTTGTTGGAGTGATGTGTGGTCATTGAATAGCTCATTTGCTTGTCGATATATGGGCTCACTCAGAGCTGGCTCCTCCACCAAGCAGTGACCCTAAGAAGCACACAGGATCCAATTAGCCTAAAATATCTGTGAGTGGAAGGGAAAATTCCTTTACTCACGCGCTTATTGAATTGGGAAGTTAGCCATATAACCAGTAGATTCCGTTTGCCTTCCAGACTTCGTGTCTACTCTGTCTGGAGATAGATTATAGCTTTTAACAGGTGTTGGGGGCTATTTTTGCATTACGTAGAAAACATATGCTTCCAGGTTGAGTCTGATTCCGTGGAAGTTATTTACAACTTTATAAGTTATAGATAAATAACAATGGAAAGTAATTCTCATTTATGTATACGCAAATGAACTCTATCCAGCGCAGTAACAATCCTTCCCCTCCACCACTACTACCAAGGAAAACAGTTTCACCTCCACTTGCACGTTTATTTTAGTATTCCTAATCTGTTCTTTGGATTGTCTATTGAATTAGTTTTAACACCTTACCAATTTCCTTATTAATGAGTTAAATAAAATCATGTATTCACTTTTATATTTGTATGAGGGTCATGATTTTACCTTTTTTTCCCCCAGAATTATCCTTTAACACATGAAATGTTTGCCTCTTACATACTTACACTTTTTTCCTTTGCATGAAGTAGATTAGTTGATGTTATACCCACTTTAATCTCTAGTGGAATCAATGAAATTTAGCAGAAAAAAGTTAAAATTTTAGCATTAGTTAAATTCAAAGAATAATTTAGAATAACTGTTTGACTCATTATGTCAAGGCTTGAACTTTGCATTTAAAGACCCTGTGGAAGACCTTGAAGGGCTGAGAATTTCCACTGTGGTTTTGTGTGTCTTTCTCCCCCATAACTGTTCCTCCCTACTCTCCTTGATAAAGATCAAGAAGAAATAATTGATGGGTGTTAATCTGCAGGAACAATTCCTCCTTTAACCAGTGTCTCCTGAAACTAGCTAAACTTGCACTATTAGGTCCTATGTTTTTAAATAAAACCATATGTTCATAGTGCTCCTGAAATGTGCGTATGGAAGAGTTAATTCTGTTTTTCATCTAAGTATTGAACACATAATGTGCAGTACAAGCTAGTTATTTTATAAAATCTCTCAATTGGAGTTTGATGTTTCTTCACGATTAGGTAGAAGTTATGGATGTGTGCAGGAATACCACAAAAAGTGATGTGATATGTTTCTCAGTGCTTCCTATTAAGAGGCACATGATGTTGAATTGCTTTCTTATGGGATAACTTTGTTAGGGTAAACATTCACTGCAACGTTAATATTTTCTTCTTGTAATTAAATATTTTATGGAAAGGTAATTTGAGAATATGTAAATATCCTGTTATGTCTCACACACATTATTTTGCTTACCGGTTTAGGATCTTGCTTCTTGCTTCAGTTAGTTATAATTAGGATGGCTACCAAATGCTGATTTGCTAATTCCTTCATTTCCTGTATTTTTATTAGTTGCCTTTCTATTGTAAGGAAGAACTTTCCCTTCTCATTTATTTATTTCACTATGAACTTGTGGATTCTTGTTTTAATCAATATGCTATAATCCTTTACTATAGTTATTTCAATGCTTAAATTTTCTCTGTTTTGGCCAGTGGGAGATCCTATAGTCTGGCTTATATCTTTTTGGCATGTCCTCTTGAATCTTTGAGCATGTCCATATATTTTGATACAATGAGATTTTCTAGCCTCAACTTGCATTTTTCCTTCCCCAACCCTGGAATCATATATTTCTCCAAGGGATGCTGCTTGTTTCTAGGGATGACATTTAGAAAGCAATCTGTGTTTTAGATGTGCTCATTGCTACTGGGCTGTCATCACTTCTAGAATCTCTCTCAAGACAAAGATAGTAACTAAATATATGTGTATACATACACACATATACAAGTGTTTATACATATACCCACATACTATATCTAAACATATCTATAAAACCATGAGTTTATAATGAATGCCTCTATTTCTGTTTCCCCTCATTTCTATATGTGTATGGATTGTACCAGTTTTCATCACTAGCAACTGAGTAGTATATTGAAGCCAGTTTGGCAGTTTCTTACAAAACTAGACATATTCTTATCCTGCAATCCAGCAGTCACATTCTTTGGTATCTATCAGAAGGAGGTGAAAACTTATATCCACCCAAGAACCTGCACACATGTTTACAGCAGTTTTATTCAATGTTTTGAAAACTATGAAGCAATCAAGATGTCCTTCAGTAGTGAAAGGATAAACGGTGGTACACCCAGGCAATAGAACAGTATTCAGCAGTGAAAAGACACGAGCTGTCAAGCCATGAAAAGACATGGTGGAACTTTACATGCATATTATGAAGTGAAAGAAGCCAATCTGAAAAAGCTATATACTATATGATTACTGCTGTATGATATTTTAAAAGGCAAAACTATGGAGATAGTGAAAAAGGTCGGTGGTTGCTGGGTTTGCGAAGTGGGGTTAAGTAGACGTAGCACAGAGGATTTTTTAGGGCAGCAGACTTCAACCTTTTTGGCACCAGGGACTGGTTTTGTGGAAGATAGTTTTTCCACAGACCAGGTGGCGGGGTGTGAGGATGCTTTCACGATGATTGAAGCACATTATATTTATTGTACACTTTATTTATATTATTATTACATAATATATATATAATACATAATGAAATAAGATATAATGAAATAATTATATAACTCACCATAATGCAGAAAAACTGGGAGCCCTGAGTTTGTTTTCCTGCAACTAGATGATCCCATCTGAGGGTGATGGGAGACAGTGACAGATTGTCAAGCATCAGATTCTCATAAGGAGCGTGAAACCTAGATAGATCCCTCGCATGCTCAATTGACAATAGGGTTTGCTCTCCTGTGAGAATCTAATGCCACTGCTGACCTGACAGGAGGCAGAGTTCAGGCGGTAATGTAAGTGATGGGGAGGAGCTGTAAGTACAGTCGAAGCTCCGCTCACTTACAGCTCACGTCCTCTGTGGCCCAGATCCTAATGGACAGTACCATCTGTGGCCTGGGGGTTTGGAATCCCTGTTTTAGGCCAGTGATGCTGCTCTTTATGATACTACAATGGTGGATACATGTCATTATACATTCATCCAAACCCATAGAATGTACCACACCAAGAATAAACCCAAAAGTAAATGGAACTTTACATGATTATGTCAATGTAGGTTCATCGGTTGTAACAGATGTACCACTCTGCTGTGGGATGTTGATAATGGGGAATGTAAGCATGTGTGGGGACAAGGGATATATGAGAAATCTCTGTACCTTCTTCTCAATTTTGCTGTGAATCAAAAACTGCTCTTAAAAACTAAATCTTTTTTAAAAAGTACCATACTTTTAAATTGTTTCTAATCTTATATGAGAAATGATACATCAGTATAGTATTTTGGCTTTGCTTTGCTCTTAAGAATAAAATTGAACATTTTTTCATGTGATGAAGTGCTCTTTTAACAACGCTTTTGTGAACTGTCTGTGTTGTTTTCAATTTTTTTTCTTTTTGGTCTTTTCCCACTCAATTAAAAAATTATTTATATATTACACAGGTTATCCCCTTAATTGTGATATTTATCACAAATATTTTCTTCCAGTTTGTCAGTTGTCAAATTGATGTTTTTAACATGCAAAAGTTATTTTAAATGTTAGACAATTTTATCAATATATTCTATGATTACATCTGGATTTTGAGTCATAGTGAAACTATCCTTATACCAAAGTTAAAGTAAAATTGACCCATGTTTTCTTCTAGTGATTATATAGTTGCATTTTTACATTTAGATCCCTGATCCATGGGCATTTATTTTTGTGTGCAATGTGGAATATGGGTCTACTTTTCTTTTTCCAAATGGTTGGCCAGTTGTCTCAGCACCATTCATAGGGAATTCCATTTTTGCCTCAATGATATGAGATGCCACATTCATCGTATGCTTAATTTCCACATATGCTTGAGTCTATTTCTAAGTTTTCAGTTAGTTGGATTCTACTTGCCTGACTGTTTACTCATCACGCCAGACTGTCTCAGTTTTAAGAGGCTTTACAATGTGTTTTCATGTATGGTAGGGCTAATGACTCCTCATAGCTTTTCACTTTTAGTGTTTTCCTAGCTATTCCTGCATGTTTTTTTCTTTTCCTTCCTTTCCTTGCTCCCTCCCTCCCTTCCTTCCTTCCTTCCTTGCTTCCATCCTTCCTTCCTTCCTTCCCCCTTCCTCCTTTCCTCCCTTCCTTCGTTTTTTTCTTTCTTTTCTTTTTTTTTTTTTTTTTTTTTTTTTGACAGTGTCTCCCTCTGTTGCTCAGGCTGGAGTACAGTGATACAATCATGGCTCATTGTAGCCTTGACCTCCTGGCCTCAAGTGATCCTTCCACCTCAGCCTTCTGAGGAGCTGGGGACTGCAGGCGTGAGCCACAACACCCAGCTACTTTTTAAAATTTTTCTGTAGAGATAGGGTCTCACTATATTGCCCAGGCTGGTCTCGAAGTCCTGAGCATAAGTGATCTTCCTGCCCTGGCCTCCCAAAGTACTGGGATTACAGACATCAGCCACCACACCTGGCCCCAAAATCTTTATAATACTCAGTTGTCATATCTAAGAATAAGGAGTGCCTGTCCATTTAAGGTCAATTTTTGCACCTTTTAGAAGTGTTTTCCTCGTATCAGTTTTGTACTTTTCTTAAACTTATTTCTAAATATTTTATCTTCTATTTTGCTATTAAATGGGACTTTCTCTACCATTATAACTTTTAAC